TATCTAATGAACAATTTGTGATTTGATATATAATTGTAAGTGGTGACCATGTGAAGGACGCAAAAAATCTTGTAACCAAACGACACGCTATATGAAATGGAAGAAGGTTGTATGTACCTGAGAGACCGCCTCCTCCAATTACCTCCCAAAGACCGATTCGATCCGGACCCTGGCTGCTCCGGCAGGCCGGGGGCTGTTGAAGTATCCAGCCCCACGGTAACTATGAATGTTGTGTCTATTTTAAAATGTTGTTTGTCTTATTTATATTCCCTTCCCCTTTGTATTGTAAGCCGCCCGGAGTCCTCCGGGAGTGGGCGGCATACAAGACTAATAAACTATAACTATAACTATAACTTACCTTCCCTACCAGTTCTCAAATGTGTGTCCATGCATGTGCCCGGAGTTCCACTCATGCACTTTGCTTGTGCACCTGGCCAAAAAACCGTCCCTAAATAAAATGATATAGGGCCGGGGTGGATGGGCAGGCCCACCCGCGATTTCCACTACCTGTTCAGGTGAACCGGTCTGAACCAGCTGAATACCACCTCTGGTTTCAATAGTTTTTTACCATACATTTAAAAGTCATTTTCTTAGTGTATGTCATACGAGCTTGCCTTAAATGAGCTGAAGTGTAAAATTGGTAGAATACTAAAATGCACAGCTCAGACTACATTTGCTGATTCTCTTTGCTGGAATAATAAGTAATATACACAAATTTCTAAAATGTGTCTTTGGATTTGAAACTAACTAAAATGGAAGCTTGAGATATCCTCAAAGTATATAATAATTCTACAATTCTCAAAGTTGTTCATTTTTGGCAGTGCCGGGAGAATGCTGTTGTATTCTTGCAAACAGGAAAATGAATCACTCACACACTTGAGTTCACAATTTTAATCTTATGGCACTCAAGCAAGGAAGATGTGATTCAATAGCATGATGTGAACCAGAGCTAGCAGTTTGATGTAGAAATTGTTTATGTGACATCTGTTTTCATTTGGAATTGCTGTGTTTTAGTCCTCTATTCTTCCCTAATTATCTCTAGGTCTAATTCCAGGGCCTTCTATATGAGAAGAATTGTTCCAGGAATTTGTTAACATACCCAAGAAGCTCCCACTGGATCCTGGCAATTTGAAGATATCATTTGCATGAAGCTTGTAGTAAACTTGCCAAAGGCACAACTTTCTGAATCGTAATTATTTGGTTTGATCATTCCCTTATCTGCAGCATAAAGAGCAATGATAGGACAAACCGAAGGAATCTAGATTGTTGATTTTATGTAAAGACTTTCTCAGAAATAAGCAGTATCAGTATATTCTAGATTGAAACATTAGCATAATTCTTTTTTTTTTTTTAACAGAACTTTTTTTATTTTTCTTTAAAAAAAACACAAATATGTCATCATTTGTCAATCATTAAAACATTGAAGTACAATTTTTTTTTGTGTGTACCCCTCCCTCCCCCCCCCCCCCCCCCCCCCCCCCCC